GGATGCCGACAAGGAGAACACCGAACTAAGGGCAAACGTCTCCCGGCTGAAGAACGAGCTGGCCCAAACGCAGGCTGATCAATAGGTCGAGCTGGCAGCCGAACAGGACCGGCTGGTCGCTGAAAACGAGCAAGACTGCGAGGCTCGCATGAAAATGGCCTACTCCCTCATCCACCTAGACACCGAATGGGAGTTCTTGGAGCTAAGGTACAAGTACGCCACCGAGGTGCACGATGCTCAGACTCTTGGGCTTGAGAAGCCGCACTATAAGAAATAAGCTTGATTCCGACGGAAAAAATCCGTTGGAAAACAGTCTTTCGTCGGAATCAGTCTGTCGCAAAACCCTTTGTAGGGAATTCGACCTTTTCCGACGGAATTTCCGTCGGAAGACCGTTTTCCGACGGAATTTCCGTCGGAAGACCGTTTTCCGACGGAATTTCCGACCTATTTATTTCTGTCAGGCTGTTTTTGACTTTAATCAAGAGTCCGTTGCAATTTTCCGACAAAAAATATTCCGTCGGAATATACCATTTTCGACGGCAAATTTACTTTTCCGACGGAATATTTCGTCAGAAATTTCTAACGGATTTTATATCCGTCGAAAATTTAATGTTCCGACGGAGTTTCCGTTGAACTTCCAACGGATTTTATTTCCATCAGAAATTGAATGTTCCGACTAAATATTCCGTCGAAAAGCCCATATATTCCGACGGACTTATATTCCGTCGGAAGTTTCTGACGGATTTCCAACGGAATAAAAATCCGTCGGAATTTCTGACTTTTCCGACGGAAATTCTTGTCCGTCAGAAACAATCCGTCGGAAATTGGCCTATTTCTAGTAGTGCCAGCTCCCTTCGAAGAATGGGCTGGCATTGCCGAAGAAGATCAGGAGGAGAAGCAGGCGGAAGAACGAATGTCGGGTGAGGCTAATCAAGCCCAACCTTAGCAAACTCAAGATGCTCCTCCATCCGGCCAGGGCCAGACGTCTCAGCCTCCCCAGCAGCATTGAGCCTTGTTGTTTTTCTTTTTATCTCCGGCCTGCGAGCCGAGTATCTCATGTATTCTCTTTCTCCCCGAACGTAGTTCCGACAAACAATTATTATTATTAGCCGACTGAGTCGGTTTTGCCCATATTTGCCTTTGATATATTTTGCTTCAATTTTTGCAATTTTCTCAATTTTCTGGTATGCACGAATATTTTTGCAAGTATCCTAACGCATGCGATTTTTCGGGTGCATCGGCTTTGTCTACCCCTGGACAATTGTTTGTTTGGTATTTGCCCAATTCTAAGCAGGCAGCCGTCCAATCAAGCATCCAGATGAATAAAGAGACAGTCATTGGCCGCCTTTATAGAAATTTCTCAAATTATTTTCTAAGTTAGATTAGAAGACGGTTTCGGCTAGAGACCAACCTAGATCACTCTATTAACCGGCTGCGATTTAGCCGTTAGGGTAATCAGTCTTTGCCGGTCGCGTAATAGCAAGTGCCCATTGGCCGAATGTTGGTGTCATGACCATTGTTATGTTTTAGCTACTAAGGCTTTGGCCTTGCTTAAATTAATTTGGATTTGTAACCGGTTGTAGTGCCCTTGGGCACGGACCGGTTATATTTGACCAAGATATCAGTTACCGTTTGTGTTGCTTTGAAGCAACGCCGGTTGTATCGAAGTTTTGAGTTATTCAAACGGCCGTGAGTTATCTAACATAGTAAGTCAGTTAAAGCAACTTGAGTTATGATTTATAGAACAATGTACTACCCAAATGGAAGATGCTCTCTTCGACGAATTCACCCAAATAGGCGCCGCCGGTTGCCTGCTCATGTTGGAGCAGGCGGTTTGAAGGCTATTCAGCCATTGGCCTCGTAAATAGCTGCTAAGTCTGGGACTTAGCCTATATCTACTCAAGTTAGAGCAGACATCTTCCCGGTTGTGCATTGCACAGATGGGACTTTGTACAAGAATAAAAATAAAGCATCTTTTCATTAACATACTCTATTTACAAAGATTTACAAGTCCTTAGAAGTAGTACTTTTTCAAGTTGTCTACATTCCAAGTCCTGGCTAGCTGCCTGCCGTCTGGGGTTTCCAGGCAGTAGGTACCGCCTCTAACTTCTTCAAAAATCCGATAGGGACCTTCCCAATTAGGGGTCAGCTTTCCTTACACATTGGCCCTACCGGTTGCTTCCATTTTTCGAAACACAAAGTCCCCCACTTTTAAGGGTCGTTTGTGCACTCTTCTGTTGTAGGCTCTCGTCATTCTCAGACGGTAGATCTCATGACGCAAGGCGACATTGCCCCTGCGCTCCGGGAGTGAATCTAATGCTAGCCACATGGCCTTCTAGTTAGCCTCTTCACATGATTCGAAGTGTTGGCTTATAATGCTCAATAGGCAGGATGACTACAGTGCCATATGTCATGAGAAACGGGGTTTCACCGGTTGCCCCCTTTTCAGTTGTTTTGATGGCCCATAGGACATGAGGCAACTCATCTGCCCATAGACCGCTAACCCTTTCAATTTTCTTTTTTATGTCGTCTGAGATGAGCTTGTTGAAGGCTTCAACTTGGCCGTTTTCCTGGGGACGACCGACTGATGCAAAACAATGTCAGATCCCTTGATCTCCCAACCAGCTCTTGAGGGTAGGCATCTCAAACTGAGGGCCGTTGTCAAAGACCATAAACATAGGTACCCCAAACCGGGTGATAATGTTCCTCCAAATGAAGGAGATGACATCCTTTGTCTTTATTCCCTTGACTGCCTCTGCCTCCACCCACTTTGGTAAAGTAATCAACGGCAACTAGAATATACCTCCGTTCGCCTGTAGCAGGTGTATATGGACCCAGAATGTCCATGCCCCATTTGGCAAAGGGCACTGGGCTGTAGATAGTCGTTAAATCAGTAGTCAGACGATGTATGAGTTTGCCGAATTTCTGACATTTATCACACTTCTTCACCATTTCCATGGCGTCTACCTCAAGAGTAGGCTAAAAGTAGCCTTGCTACCTGGCCCTTTTTGCTAGAGTTCTGCTGCCTATATGTGATGCACAAAAGCTTGAGTGCAGATCCTCTAGAACTTCTTTCCCCCTTTTCGGGGTAACACATTTCAGCAGCGGTTGGAGGTAGCCCTTCTTGAAGAGTTCTCCATTATGGATCTCAAAACTTGCGGCCCGCTTCTTCAATGTAGCCACTTCTGACTGGGCGTCCGGCAAAGCGTCGTCAGCCAGATAGGCCCGGATGTTATCCATCCAGGTCGAGCTTCGGTCAAGAACTCCTATGGGATCATGCTCAATACTTCTCTTTTCCATGAGTTCCCAAAAGACTGACCTAGGCGTATCACAAGAGGCGGATGATGCCAGCTTAGATAATGCATCCGCCTGATTGTTTTCTGACCTGGGCACCTGACTTAAATGAAATTCGTCAAGTGTCCCGACCTCATCTTTGACCGCCTGAAGGTATTTGATCATAGCCGGATGGGTGGCCTCGTAGTCACCATGGTATTGGCTAACGATAAACTGAGAATCAGAGCAGGCGTCAACCTTTCTTGCCCTTGCCGACTTACACATATGGATACCGGCTAGCAGGGCCTCATATTTTGCCTCATTATTTGAGGCTTGGAACTTAAACCGTAGTGCATATTCATATTTGTCCTCTTCTGGAGACTAGCATATTATCCCTACACCACAGCCATTCATAGTAGAGCTCCCGTCTACATACACTTTCCAAACCTGATCAAGATTTTCCGGCTGAGCCGACCTTGTCATTTCGACAATGAAGTAGGCAAACGCCTTACCCTTCACTGCCTTTCTAGGCTCGAAAGTGATTTCAAGGCTTTGCATTTCAATAGCCTATTTGAGCATCCTACCAAATGACTCCAAAGTTGTCATCGGCCACTTGAGTGGTTTATCTGTGTAGACCACCACCGGATGAGCCAAAAAATAGGGTTTCAACTTCTTGATTGCCATGAAAAGAGCAAGGCCAAATTTTTCAACCAAAGGGTACCGTAGTTCATCATTTTGAAGAACACGGCTAATGAAATAGATCGGGAACTGAATGCCGTCTCTCTCAGCTAGGAGAACAGCACTAAGGGCATGGTTTGAGATGGCCAATTACATGTACAGGACCTCCCCGGCTAGGGGGCTAACCAGCCTTGGCAACGAGTGCAAGTGCTCCTTCAACTTTTGAAATGCCGCCTCAGCATTTTCCCCCCATTCAAATCTAGTCTTCTTCTTGATTGCTTGGAAGATGTAGAGACACTTGTCACCTGACCGGCTGAGGAATCTCCCCAATGCCACCAGGTAACCAGTTAATTTTTGAACTTCTTCTACAGTTGAAACCCTATTTCTTGACTTCATGCCAATCACCACATGCACCTTCCTCTGATCCAAAGAATTGTATTGATGTTCAATTGGTGTTCTTTTAATGTGTTTCTAGGGTTTTTGAAAATGAAAATATGGATTTTTTTAGGGTTTTAAAGGGAAATTTGGATTTTTTGGGTTTACACTTATTGAATTATAGATAACACTAACAAAATCATTGTTGATGAGTAATATAATCAAGTCATAGTGTTTTTTTTTTTTTTTTTAAATGAGGTTATTGTGTGATTGTTTGTCTGATTATAGATTTAATTTTTAAAAACATATACAGTATTATTGTGGTTCTAATTATTTTGTTTACCTTGGATCTTAGTAGTTTTGATTTTCTTATTAAGAAATTATTAGTGCATAATTTTGAAGTATGTTGTTTTTATATAATTTGTGGTGGTTTGTTGTAGTTCAAAATTTTAAATAATTAAAAATCACTGTTTCTGAGTTGATACCACATATTACAATTTTGATGATTTCTTATTACAGTGGGATTACTTAAAATCTGTAACAAATTCCTGACAATTTGAGTTCTTTTTCGTTAAGGCGGAGTAAAAATTCAGGGTTTCTATGACTCGGCGCTATATCGAACAGGAACCACATCATCTATGGCTAGGTAGCTTTGCTCCCTCTCATCCCTTTTGTTTTCTGGTTTTAGGGTTCATATAATTAATGTTGTTATTGCTCTACTACCACTGCCATCTTGTCATTGGTGGTGGTGGGTATAGCGATGGCGGTGATGGTAACCCATCTTCTTTGGTGTACAATTAATGTTCTTACTTGCTTGCTGCGGGTTATCAACTTCATATCACGTCATTCTCTCTAACTTAGTTGCTACTATCCAAGTAAAACTACATCGCCATTCACATATGATGGTCCTTGATATTAGAGTTTCTTGGCTACATATTTGTTGGCTTGTTGCTTTATGATCCTAGATAGGAAGTCAGAGGTAATTCATACCTTTGAAAGGACACTCTGCTCGTTTAGAGTGATCATTATGGATAGGAATTTCTTGATGATATTTTTATTTATTTTTATAGAAATATGAGAAGTTGGTTACTGTAGTTTATGAACGATACCTGAGCTACTGTTGAAAATGAATAGGGGATTTCCCTTTTTGGCCTTGCAATCAAGTTCTTTGATATTGCTGTTTTGCTTTTCCTGGTTTTCCTCTCATCCTCTTATTTTGCTTGAGATCAGTTCTCTTTATTTCTCTCCTCCATTGAAGAGTAAGCTGAGCTTTTTCTCCTCCATTAAATCTTCTTGAGTTAGATTCAATCATCTAATATCTCCTCTCCTTCTGATTCAGTCTCTCTCTCCTCTGAAATTGAATTGTATCCAAAATTAAGCTTCACTTTGAACACTGAGTCTTCTTCAATTCAAGGTTTACAGGTATATTTGGCATTGAAATGTTGTGTTGTATGTCCTAGAATAAAATTAATAAAATTTTAAGGTTCTGGTGGAATTCGGTTTAATGGAAGGCTGTGATTTGGGAATTGAGCTATGTGAATTAAGCTAATGGAATTATGTGAAAATTGATGCGTGACAAGCTGAATTATGTGCGTGGTATTTTTAGTCAGGAAGTTGAGGGGAACTAAAACCCAGTGTAATTAGAAAATCGACGTGGGTGAAATTAGAGCTTGGGTTTCTATGAATTAGGGGTAAGATTATAATATTTGGGCCTCAAGTTTTTAAAAAAAATCATGAAAAACTGGAGTTTTAGATGGAAATTGCAACAGGATTCCAGAAAATAAATAGGAAGAGAGGAGGGAGAAAGACCAGGGACAACGAAAAACATCAAAGCTTAATTGAACTCGAAATTACAGCTCATTAGTATTACTACTATTTTTTTGGTGGCTTTGAAGTTCAAAATTTAAGCTTAATTGTTGTTTTGCAGGATTTTGAATTCTTGCAGTTCCACCCAACTGGTATCTATATATGGTCCTGGATGCCTAATCACTGAAGGTTGATTTTACTCGTACAATATATTTGTTCTTTTCGTTCTTTTGTCTAATGATTCAGAAACTAATCTGTAGAAGAAAATTTTGTAGTTTATTCCGGAATATTTTCGTTTTTCTTTGATGATACCTTTTGCAGCCGCTTTTTTCTAGAATTTTTTCTTTAGAAGTGAGCTTTAATTTCCTTCTCAACTAGAATTTGGATAAATTTTAAAAAGAACGAGTAGACAAACATTGGTTATGAGTAGTTGATTTCAATTGTTGTCATCCTTTGCTCATGTGCAAATTCTTTTGGCTGTCATCCTTGGCTTAACTGCAAATTCTTTTGGTGGTGGTTAATTCTTACATTATAACATGTAAGCCATTTGTCCCTGTAACTATTTGCTGCATAAATTTCATCATTATGATTTTTGGCATTCTGGATCAGAATGGTGGTGAATCTGTCATGACTCAAGTTTCTGAAATGAGTTCAAGATCTTGTCAAGTCATCAGAAAATGGCTTTATTAAGCCACCAACAAATAGAGTGATATCAAATTAGGTACAATTATGTCGCCGCCACTGTTATTCTTGTCGCCGGCACTTTTATTCTTTTCGTTGCTGCTGTTTTAGTACTTGCTGTTGTTATTGTTGTCGTTGCTGATATGGCTGTTGTTATTGTGTTGTTACTGTTAGATGTTGCTGATATTGTGTACTGTTGTTATTGTAAACATGTTTGGACTCGTGGTTTGATTTTCAGATATAGGTGTGATACTTGATAAAGGTTTTTTGGGTATGATCTTGGGTTATCTTTCGTTGGGTAGTATGGTTATGAAGTAAACTATAATAAGTATACTATGTTATTTTTTGACATACTCTTGTAATCAGCAGATGACGACTATGTTTTTCTATTAATTCATTCACAGGAAGAAGGTATGGGTGCCTACTTAAGATGGGAGACTATGACACTCTTATCGAGCTGTTGAAATTTCAGGTATTCTACTTGTTGCAAGTTTTGCAATGCTTTATTTAATCATACTCTGCTGGTTAACCTTTCTCACAAATTTTGATTTTTTGCTTACAAAACCTGTTACATGGCCTCCATCGATTTGGAGAGTAGTTTGCGGAGTTGTTAAATCTGGTATACTTACATATGGTCCTTTCATCTTTCTCGGATTTGTTATCTCCATTTCTAAATACCTATGTTCTGCGTTAAATTTTCATGCTCTCCACTGTGCTAGCTTTTCTCCTGCTCTGCATTGCCATTTTGTATATTCATTTTTACAGGAACAAACCTTGAATGTGGTGCCAGATTTCAAAAACCTTGTGATTCAGGCTCTTCTCTTAAAGGTATAGTCTCGTGAGTAAGCATTCTTCTCCGTCTTTCTGTATATTCCTTTATAGTTGCTTATTAATGCGTGTATCCAATGTAACAATGCATCTCCACTTGCAACCAGAAAATTCTAAGCCGAACTTTTCATGATTGCTGCTACCTGTGGTGCATTCTCCCTTTTGTTATTAGGGGCGGCCTTCACATATCGAAGACAACAACTGCTTAACTTCAAAAATGAAGTCCTTGAAGATGTTGCAGGTATGTTACTCTACTTTCCTATTAGCTAACATATGCATTAATCTGATATTTCTTGCCTGTACCCTTAGCTTCCTTCATGAATCCAAATTTCTGAATGCATGTTATATGGGCTTAATGACAGTGGAAAATAATTGACAGTACAGACTTTAGCAGCCTATAAATTCGAGTTCGCCATTCCTTCTTTGGTTGATGAGGGCAATGCCTTTTATGTTTGAATGTAAAATTAAGATAATTTATTCTTTCTTTCTACTGCCTCTGTTTCATTTCATCGCCTCTGTTACATTTCATTTATGACATTACATTGGTAAAATTTGTTTGGAGAGAGAAAAATAAAGTTGCATGAATGAGGAGAGAGATAGAAGGAAATGACAAGTAAAAAAGGAAAGAAAACATTTGTTGCAAATGATTTGTAGTATCCATTTATGGTAAATGTTTCAAATAAATTGAAACGGAGTTAGTAAAACTTTTAGATGAAGATGAGGGTAAGTTCACCTTTGACCAAGAGAAAAGGTTTTCTTGGCGTGAGATTCAAAATTGCATTCAACAATTTAAGTGAAAGTAACATCATAGGTCAAGGAGGTTTGGAGAAAGTTTACAAAGGCAAATTGATGGATAACAAAAGTGGTTGTGAAACCCCTTACAGCTTATCATAATCCAGGTGGAGAAGCTACATCTATGAGTGAGGTCCAGTTAAAAACTGTTGTTGTTCATAAGAATCTCTTGCGGTTGATTAGTAGATTTTGTACAACATCTGAGAGAATCTTCGTTTACCCATAAAATCTCATAAGCGTTGCTTATCGATTGAGAGGTGGTACTGTTTTTCTTCAAAGTATTATGTTCTTTACTTCTTTACTGTTTGTTTATTATTTCCATCTTTACTTCTGAAATAAAAAATACTTTTTTCCTGGTAGAATTAATGCCTAGTGAGGAAGCGAAGTTTAGACTGACCAAGGAGAAAAAAAGATAGGTTTTCTCACTTTTATAAAGGCTTTCCTAAGTTTTTAATGGAGTGCTTGATTATCAATGTGTTTATATATTGACAAAGTTCGGGACTTTTCTAAGTAAGCATTTGGATGATTATATGTTAGCATTTGGGCTATCCTGCAATTATTTTAATTTGAAATATGTTAATATCAAATTAGTGTTTGGTTTATAGGGTTGTTTTAGTGTTCTTCAATTGTATGGATTTTTTATTAATGGCTTTTTTGGAGAAGAATTTTATCAATTACATGCGGTTGTAAATTTCCTAATATTGCCAAATCTGGTTACTTGAAATTTCTCCCCCTTTTCAAAGGTATAGGGTTTTAAAATTCTTTTGATTTTTCTCTTTTTTTTTTTTTAATTTTTTTTTTAATTAGTTAGGATTTGGGAGATGGATGGTTTTAGTTTTTGTTTTGGAATGCAGGCCCTGGTGATGGTAAATTGCATGTAAAAAATTGATCGGAAATTTCAGAGAACTATCGGGACCTCTTGATGAATTTGCTCACCCATGTGAGTATTCGGCATGGTGATAACATTTTTGGGAGCTATATATCTTTAGCATATGCGAGGACTTGAAGGATGCCAACTCTTGGCAAGATATTGAGGAAAAAGTTAAGAGGAATTCTGAACGAGAGTATGGATTTATCTTAGTTCTGTTTTTTTTTTTTTTTTTTTTTTTTCTTAGGCCTATTTGATAGTCAAGTGCTGTGGCTTTCATCATTCACGAATGTATTTCCAATTGTGGATTTTTATATACCGCTCTTTGTAACTTCCTTTCTTCAACAATGATATTATTCACTTGCTTGTAAAATTGTGTAAAGACAACTTTGCTTCATGGAAAATGGTAATTGTAGACTTTTAAAATGTCATTGTTTTCCTTGTCCAGAGTTTAATTTAGATTCTAACCAAAGATACTCCAACATAACAAGCACATAACATATTTGAGTTCCGATCCTAAAATTGGAATTGGATGACATCAAAAAAGGGAGTGAGAAACACAATGAAGTAGAAAAATGCTTCAACGTTTAGGTGACACATAATTTCAGTCTCAAAAGATATATTGAAACTTAGATACTCTACAATGCATTTTTATAGTTACAACTTACAATTTTGCTTGGTCAAATGGTTTGAAAATCTAAAGTAATGTTATACAAATTAAAGGTTATGCAGGAACTACTTTGTTGTTTCTTAGGTGGTACGAGTTCCTTGATACACTTCAGATATTGAATACGATATTTAAAGTATGGAAGAAAGACATCTAAAAATTCATCTACATTGTATATGCTATCTAAAATAATTTCTAGACATCAAACAAATTACTTTGAATTGAAAGAAGAAATAGTTAAGGCTTTTACACTATTTTAAACCTTTCAAAAATGGGAGTTTATTGTGCTTATGACCAGAGATGTTTTTGTTTTCCAACTTGATTAAATAGTGATATGATTCGTATATGTAAATTAAAAAATTATCTAATATTCGCATTCATACAAATGTAGTGTATCACATACATATGTTGCGAATACAAACTAGACTTAAATTTATCTAACTATAATCAACAAACTTACATTAAATCAACTTTATCATTATTGTTTTTTTGGACAAAAATTTATCATTAATTGCAATAAAGAAATTACGATAACTTGGGGTAGCGCGCGCAACGTGCGCGATGCCACAACTAGTTAAACAAAGCCTAGCATGCTTCTATACACTTAAAAAATTACCGAGTACGCGAACGTACATCGAATATGATCTCAAAATCGCCACGACTACACGAAATCACTTACTTGGAAATCGCCTACAACCCAAAATTACAAAGAGACATTAATACCTATTCAATATAAATTTCCAGCAATATATAAACTCTTTAAATCACTTATGACCAGTGGCGGTTTTGGGCCGGAGCAAGGTGGTCGACGGAACAGGGCCCCCAAATTTAGGGGCCCCAAAATTTAGATATATATAATTAAGTTTGGCATAATATCTTAAAATTGTAGTTGGTGTAGTAGTTAGAGCAATTGTCTTGTGTATCCAAGGTCTTGGGTTCAAGACATGCATCAATCAATTTTCTAAATTTTTGGGTAGCTGACAGCTGGCTTGATACATTGAATGTAGACATGTATTCAATAGTCTCAAAAACTCCGCCCAAAAAAATCTGATTTCCTTTTTCGGTTTTTCCCCAAAAAATTTCAATCTATTATTTCAATTCCAAAAAAAAACTCTACATCTTCTAAACTTTATATTTTTCATTTACTTTCTTTTTTTATCTTCTTCATTTTCTACAATTATTCAATTAATTTTCAAAATTTTCATCTCCCAAAATTAATTTTCCCAATATTAGTTCATATTTCAACGGTTAAATCTTCAATTTGAAGATGAAATTAATTATTAAACCGTTGTTAATCTCCCAATTTTTCCTATATATAAATTTTATTTACTCTTTCAAATTTAAGGCCCCATTTTAAAAAGTTGAACAGGACCCCATAAATAATTTGCAATTTTAGCCCCGGCACTGCTTATAACCCCTCTAAAACAAGCTGAAAATTAATTTAAAACCCTTACTTTTATTCCCAATTAATGGGTAATTAAAAAATCCTTTTAAGAAACATAATTCTAACCTTTATATAAAAATTCCAACTTTATAAAAACGACTATTTCACCAAATGCCACTGAGCAATTACGAAATTCACCAAATGCCATGAGCCTTTTCCTAATTCACCAAATGTCACCGAGTTTTACAAAAATTCACCGAGTGCCATTAATGACTGACGATCGTAAGTTGACCATTAGTTGACCCCACCACTTGCCATGTGTCACCTTCTGATTGGTCCGTTATTTTAAAAAATATGAAAAATAACAAAAAAATAGAAAAAAATAGCAAAAAATGAAAAAAAAAAAAAAAAACAAACCTGCTGCCAGCCAACCATTCCGGCCACCCCACCGCCAAACCCCCTTGCCGCCGAACCCCACCAGCCAGCACCAGCAGGCGCGCATCCCCTTTATGATTTCGGCCACCCCACCCTCCCCTTCCGATTTCAGTGCCACCAGCTAGCCCATTCTGGTAGCCCCTTTCCCCTCCCTTTCCTCACACCCCCTTTCCTCACACCAGAATAGAAGCATTTCCGTTTCCATTACCATTTCCATTCAATTTCAAGCTATCCACTCCATTAATCACCGAACTTTCTCTCTCCTCCGTTGACGGAACCGTATTCTCCCTCACAGCTCGAATTCGCCAAAATCTAAGGTTCCGCGAACTGCAACTTTAAAAGTTAAACCAGTAATAAAGGAGGCAAAAGGTTGATTAATTAAGCCTTTTGAGATTCGAGCAGAAGGTGGGCTTCTCCCCCTATTTTCGAGAGTTTGCACGGCTGAATTTGGGGTGTGAACCACCAGATCGAGGCAACACCTGTTGAAACAATCATAGCAGCAGAAAAGGAGTTCGCAAAAGGAACTTGAGTAGAGTTTTCCGATGAGTTCCCGGAATCAGAGTTTCCATCTCTAGCGAGAATTGTTGGAGATGAGGGGTTTCGCGGCGGGAAAGAGGAGGGGAGGGGGAGGGCTTGCTTCGGCGCCTGCCGGTGAGGGTGCAGGTCGCTGGCGGCAGGGTTTCAAGGTTCGGCGACAGGGAGCGGGTGGTGGAAGGGGTGGTGGCTGGGTGGTTTCAAGTTTTTTTTATTTTTTTTAAAAAATATTATTTTTTGGTCAAAACTAACCAATAAGAAGGTGACAGGTGGCAAGTGGTGGGGTCAACTAACGGTCAACTAACTGCCTTTAGTCATTAATGGCACTCGGTGAATTTTTGTAAAACTCGGTGGCATTTGGTGAATTTGGAAAAGGCTCATGACATTTGGTGAATTTCGCAATTGCTCAGTGGCATTTGGTGAAATAGCCGTTATAAAAACATGTAAAATTGTTGTAATTATGTTTAAAAACACCTATTTCAATAATTTCAACCAACTACAATTAATTTCCATCAATATACATTAATTTAGAAACCTAGGGTTTTCAATTTGGGGCTTTTTAATTCAAAAACTAGATCTGAAAATTATATACATAATAATCATAATCAAACATCATAAAAATCATTACAAAACCTAAAAATAACAATTGAATTAAGGCTAGATTAGAATTAAAACAAAAGAGTTTTTTTTTTGTTTTTTTTAAAAAAAACAAAAAACCGCACCACACGATGGGAGGGGGTTGCTGCCGCCCTCCACGCCGGCGGCTGCTGCTGGCCGCGGGGGGCCAACTAGTGGGAGGTTGTGATGGCGACCGACCACCTTGTGTGTGCGTGTGGGGTGTGTAAAATAAAGGGGAGGGGGAAAAATTACGGGAGAGAAAATGAGAAGAGAGAGAGTTTACATTTGGGTATTCTCCACCTTGGCCAAAATCTAACTTGCTCAAAAGATGGGTATATATACCCCCTCTCAAAATCCTCCTAAGTTTAATTTTCCTTTCTACCCTTAATGATTTCTTCTCCCATTCAAACTAGTCATTTGACTTTCTTTAAATACCATAGACTTAAAATTTCCTTTTATAAAATAATATGCCCCAAAGTTTCTAAACAATAAAATAAAATATTTTCAAAGCAATTAAAAAAATAAAATGGACCTGTAATTATATTAACCTTTGTAAATTTATAAATACCATAAATAATTCATTTCGAATTATTTGAATGTTTCATAAAATAATAATTTAAATTGAAATACGAATAAAAATATGGAGTATTACAACGATGATGATGGTTACCTTGCTTTCTATGGTAATTGATTAGGGGATTTTTATCCACCAAGCGCCGTTTGACAAGTGGACCAACCAGGTTCCGCCACGCGTCCTCCACGGACCACTTAAGACACGCCACGTGTCCACCCATGCCAAATGGGACAACCGGCCATCAAGGCCCATTTCAGTCTAGAAGCCCGATCGGCCCTAGGTTTACCTTAAACCTAGAGAGTTGCACGCTTCCCAAGGCTATAAATACTCGATTAATCCTCATTAATCAAGGGACCGAATAATTAACAGAACAGAGGAGAAACATTACGGAACACACTAATAACCGGCTGATCTCGCTAGCAAAGCAGATTACCTACATTAAATACTCTCACCTAGAGAGACCTTATTACTTTAATTTCTGTATTAATTACTCCTTAATCAGGTACTAACTTGACCGTTGGAGGCGGAGCTCTCAGGAGTCTCCGTTATTTTGCAGGTACAGGCGTCCGGTTCCAGTCTCGGAATTGTAGCTCTCCCGCAGGACATCAGAAAACCCCAAAACATTTGGCGCCGTCTGTGGGGAGAGTACTTCAGAGATGGCATCCAAGTCTGTACCGACCCCAGAAGAGAGGCGTCCCCTAGACGACCCTCAAGTTCAGTCGGACCATGATACCGAAAGTGAATTTGAAGTTGAAACTCATACAGCTCCAGACGGGACCCTAAGGGCCCGCCGTACCCGTCATACTGAAATAAGGGAACGGGAGTATCTTCAAACAGGAAGCGAGCCAGCAGGCGCACCGCTTGCTCGGCAACAGCCGACTGATGGGTCTGCTCCGATCACAAGGAACGAACTCATGACCTTCATGAGGGGATTCAAGGGAGAGATCCAAGAGTTGATCAACAAAAAACCGCCTGCTTCAGTCAAAGAGCAGGCGGCCAAAAAACCTTCCACTTCACTGAAGAGGAAGCCAGTTCAAGGGCGAGAGGCGACTCCCCATCCTAAATCTAAGAAGCGGGAGCCGTCTGCTCTTGATTTCACAAAACTCCGTTATCCTACGGGAAATAGGAAACCGGTTCGTCATATTCAGGCGGACGGGTCAAGGCAAACGTTCACAGATGCTCGGCACCTGCTAGAGCAGAAGAAGAGTGACCGATTATC